TGCCTTCAAGTCGAGCATGACTCACAGTGACCCCACGAACAAAAGGCCTGAAGCCCCTCTACAACCATCGACAGTTACCAAAGTTCATAGAGTTTCCGGAGGCGTGTGGTTTAGGAAGTGGATGCCACTCCTGCTTCCTTCAGTTACATACTTCACACAGTTTAAAAAACCAGCTGGTATTGCATAATATAAATGACTAGTATGAGAATTTTTTCTTCACTTCCAGTGACAAAAATAGCAAATATAAACAATGTGATAAGCTGAGAAAAAGAGTGTAGAAAGGGAAAAACTCGATGTTTTAATACCTCTCATGGCATCTTTTCGCTTGCCTCTTCTAAAACATGAAAACATTATTTTCTCGTGTTTCTGAGAATATACACAGTTGTTACTGAGTACCGCGGAGTCAGATCCAACTCACAGCTGACCCTCCGGGGGGCTTTCAGAAACAATAACTGCACAGAAGTTGACAGCCCATCCTCCCTCAGAGCAGCCGGTGGATTCGAAGCCCGGGCCTCTGGGATCACAGCACAGCTCCTTACCATGAGATAGCAGCGCTGCCTGGACACAGCAGAACACACGCCGGTCCAGCCCCCTCGGTGCACAGCGACACTGATGACGTTCTCTGAGCCAAGTGCCACTGTCCTTTCCTGAGCCAGCCCTCTCCACCAGCACAGATTCTGCCCACTTCCCACCCGGCCTTTCAAGGTGTCCATTCAACTCCAAAGATTCCTCCTGCTTTCCCAACAGTGGGCTCCAGGTTTTCCTTTTGCGTCGGCCCTGAGTATTACGGTGCTGGTCCTGGCGATGATGAAGACGACTTTGGGGCTGCCTGTTTGCGGCACGTCCTCCCCAGTATGTGGGGGAATCACCTGCCCGTCTGGGGTACGTCTGGTTGTGTGCTCTGCCCGTGAGGGACATATGGGGGGGAAGCCTTGAGGGTGTCCCGCGGAGCCACTGCAACCTTGGGAAGGGACTCCTGATGGCATGAGAGAATGTTTATGCTGGAAGTAAGCAAAAAGCTGGCTGCCGCCGGACGTGCGTGCAGTGAGCACAGCTTGACCAAATCAAACCCCACTAGGAAGCACTCAGGAACGCAGGCTGTCTGCGCTGAAGAACCTTATGCGGGGCGGGGAGGACACCAACAGTGACCCAAAGCACGAGCGGATGGGGGCCGTGCGGGCGCGCGCACGTTTGCATGCACGGAGCTGAATCCACTCCCACGCACAGCGGCCTCCCACCGGGTTTACGAGGCTGTAACTACATGGAGGAGACGCTGGGGGACCCAGCTGCTGTGGACTCCCAGCTGTGTGGCCAGCAGCACCGCCCGCCACGGACCGTGCCCACCCGGCTGCGAGCCTGTGGGCTCCTCAGAAGAAGCTATGCGCCTGTGTAAATGCGTGTGTGTGTACAGAAGCAGGTTCCACGGAGGCTGCCATCACAGACACTTCTCAGGCACCACCAAACCTCTGCATGACTGGTTTCCTGTGTTTGAAGGCTTAGAACCTTAGTCCCACAGAAAGCTCATCAACTGGCAATAACACAGTTCACAGAGCTCATGTTCTGCCTTCCAGCGAGGTGAGTGGAGTCTGGGGTCTTAAAAGCTAGAAGCAGCCCTCTGAAACACAGCTATTGGTCTCTGCTCACCAGGAGTGAAAAAGGAGACCAAAGACTCAGAGGAGAAAGAGTAGGCAGGGCTGAAGACCTTCAGTGCCACGGCCTCGTCTTCCCCAAGACCAGAAGACCTAGATGGTGCCCGGCAACACTGCTGACCGTTCTGACCGGGGGCACCAACTATTCCAACTGAGGCCACAACGGACGGGTCTGGATCCAACAGAAGAAGAAGTTGGAGCAATACGCAAGTTCTTGGGAAGTCCACACTTACCAGCCCAGTTGAGAATAGAGAACTCCCCCAAACTAGTGCCAGAGACCCTCTTCAAACTCATCCAGAGGTACCTCCTGGCATCACCCTTAGCAATATTCCAGAAAGACTCACAAAATAAAATAAAGGACAGAGGTGGAGGTGGTGGGGGAGTGCAAGTGGAAGGATGGATGAAGGGCAAGGTCAGGTACAGGGAGGATGCGGTGAGTGGTCAAGTGCAACTAATGTTATAGAACAAAATGTGTATGACTGGATGACTATTCAAAAAATGTGTATGACCATTCACAAAATGTGTACGAATGGTTGCATGAAAACCAGCAACACCCCCAACGAAAGGACATTCCCTGTGAGACCAGTGTTCCAGAAAGGAAAAGAAATCTAAATGGGATCAAACTACAGTGAAGAGAAGATGTGGGAACAGAGAAACCTGAGTGCTTGACAGGGAGCAGCCGGGGCGGAATTAAAGAGACCACAGACGCACTGTGACAGGGCAGCTGTAATCAAAGTGTCAAATGAGAACTGAATTCATCAGGTCAACTGTCATCCAGAACACCAGGAAATGTTATTCTTTTTAAAGGCTGGTCTCCACAGCATGTATTATTTTTGTAACCTGAAGAAATACAAAAGGCCTTTAAAGAGAATTACAGCCAGTGCCTACAGATGACTAAAAGATGAGTCTTAACAAAACGGTCTCCCCACCCAGCACTTCTCTGTTTCTCTCACATTCTAATGGTCCAAGTGAGGAGAGAAGAGGGAGCCAGGCTTCCACACCCTCGGGGCCCAGCGAGGCGAATGCTTTAACTGTTTACCCACCAGGCCAAGATTCCCACAGCCCACACCCCACACACGCCCCACACGGTTTGCTCCCTGCCCCTTCACTTGGTTGATTTGCAAACTGCCCACCTCTCTGGCCCTGGGGCTGCGGGGTTACACACATTTCCGGTGGAGTTCGCTACTTCACCAGGAGGCATTTCAACTGTAGAACAACCTTATTTTCCCCTAAAGTAATTAAGAAACCCTTATATAATTATAAAGTCCTTGTATGTCATCAGAGGAGCTGACGTGTCTGCCGCTAGTAACAGCCTGACCCACGGGTGACGCGGACTCTGGCATCGCCCAGCAGGGAGACGGCCGGCGAGCAAGGAGGTTCCTCAAGACCAGCTGCAGCTCCTCACTGAGACACACGCTAAACAAAGCACCAATCTTTCCTAAGAGTCCGTCAATGAGTCCATGTTCAGGGTCATGAAAGGTATCTCCGCGTGACCTGGACCATTTAAGCTGTGGGACGTGGAGAGGAAGGGGTGGGAAAGAGGTCCCTGGGGACATACGGGGCCTGTTCCCCACAGGAAACAGGGAGGTAAACACTGGCCTCTATTTGTCTTCAACAACCTAAAAGATTCTTTCAAGCCAACAACACAGTTTTGGAGTGAAGCTTCCTAATGACAAACACATGCCCAGCAGATGATGGTTAACAGTCATGGGCTCCTGGGAGCCCTCACAGGGGGTGGACACTAAGCGAAGGTGCTCGACAAGGGGCCAGGACACAGAAAGTTGAGAGGGGGGAGCACAGGCCATGCGTCTACCGTGATACCCGGAAGCCAAGCTGGGGACCCCTGCCCCCTGCAGAGCCCTGAAACCGAGGGCTGTGGGCCCAGACCCCTGCTCAGAGCACCCCATGGCCACCAGGCCCCTCACCCCAGCACACTGCCCCTCGAGTGAAGCAGACGCTGGGCCTGTCCCTCTGCCCTGGTCTCAGTCCCCTGATGTGTCACCCCCCTGCCAGCACCCGGCTCTGCTCCCTAGTCCTGTCCCACAAGGCACAGTGACACGGTGGTAGCCGCCGAACGCTGAGGGCCATGGGCATCCACTGGCATCCCTCTCACACAGGGTCTGCCCTGTGACCTCTGCTGAGCCACCACCCTTCAGACTCACCCAGCCCCTTCTGGAACAGTCCATGTCCAGCACCTCCAGGGCTGGAAATACGGGGGTACAGAGGGCTTGGGGCCTCTAAAACCTGTCCTTTGTCCCCTGAGATCTCTCCTCCCCTCGGGCTTCCTGCTGGTGACTGAGTTCGTGAATGACCCCGCACGGCCCTTCCCTCCAGCAGTCCGGCTGAGACCAGGCAGGGAGACTCGGATGGACTCTCCTGAGGCTCAGGGCTAACAGGCGAGGACAGAGGGTTGGGACAGAGGACGCTGTCACAAGCGGTCACCCTGATGCACGCTGGCCTGTCCCACCCTCGCTCTCTGCCTGCCATTGTTGCAGTAAGTGCCACCTGAGACCCCAGCCCCAGCCCTGGGACCACCAGACGTTTGTCCCCTAAGGTGCAGAATGCAAAGCAGAATAAGGACACAGGGTGTTCCCTTCCCACCTGCCTGTTCCCTGAGCCCAGGACCTGTCATCCCTGGATGGTCACTGCTTCTCCCTCCTTCCACCCACAGGCCGAGAGGTGCCAACACGCTCACTGAGCCCGCCAGGCCAGACCCCGAGCTGCCACCCCAGTTAAGCCTCATTACAACCCAGTTAGACAGACGCTGCCCGCCCATTTTACAGAGGTGCAGACTGAGGCGACAGCAGCACTGAGAATGAGCGGAGGACTCAGTCCCTCAGCGGGCAATGCCAGTGTCCACTTCCAGGGTGATGACCGCGGTCGCCTAGGCCCCACCACAGGCCAGAGAATGCCCCATGGTGACACTACTTTGGGAGAGTGTGGGAATGACACTTCATGACCTGGTCTCCTCAGGGCAGGCCGGGCCCAGGAGGTCTGCTCTCCCTGACTTGGCAGGCCGAGAACACAGAGTATTTGAGAAGGGACACCAGCCCATGAATGATGTGGGGGGCCGGGGGTGCGGAAAATCCATGTGTAACGTTCAGCCGCCTTCTGTCCTTGCCCGAGTGCCGCAGGCCTGAGCGCCTGACCTGAGGTCCCTGGGTGAGTGACCGTGGTGACTGGAGATGATGGGTCTCACCCAGTATGTGAAGCGGACAGTAATGGGGAATAGAGCTGCATACACACACAGCTCAAAGCCAGGGTGGGGGCAGGGGGGGCGTGAAAGCCTTGTCCAAGGACACAAGGGTCCCGCTGCCTTGACCTCCCCACCCCAGTGCCCGCCCCAGTTACCCGGCTGCGGCTTCCTCTGCTCGTCAAACAGGTCTGCAGAGCTGATGGAAGAGCTGGCCGACAGCCTCTCGAGCCGAGCCCTGGTCTCGTACTGGAAGAGAGGAGCAAACATTAGGCTCCAAACAGCACGCCTGCTTCTGCACAAATGTGCCTCTGCGTGCCCGTTCATGTCCGAGCCCAGTCAGCACAGGGGACAGAGCAGGGACAGAGGGCAACACCCCCACGGGACACTGCGGTCCCCACAGGAGGAAAGGCTCTCCCAGATCTCCCTGACCACCACCTGCCCGTGGCCAGTCTCCCAAACCAGGATCGCCTCTCCTCCGGTTCCCGTGTGGGCTCTGTGAACACTCTCTGGGTCCATTGCAGTTTGTGGAGACAGGGATCTCAGGGCAGACGGCCTGTGACGGTCAACTCACAGCTACACCTGGGTATCTCTGATATCCAGGACACCTGTGTCCAGACAGCCCGGAATTCTGGGAGAGGTGTCACTGGAAGGTGGCCCTCACCACCTCTGCGGGAGCAGCAGAGAGCAGGCCAGGCCTTCACCCTCAGCCCCTGCTACACCCTTAGCTATGACTGTCTCCAGAGGCACAGAGGGGGCACTGCCACCCCCAGGTTCCTGACACAGTTGGGGGGTGGGGGGCATGTGACAGCCAAGGTGACACAGACCTCAAGAGCAGTAGGCCTGGATCTCTGTTTCACAGCCACTGAACTTGGGAGTGGAGGAATGACTCCCCGGGCACGTGAACAAAACACAGGAGGCTGGAGCTTGTGCTGTTGGAGCCGAGAGGGCAGAGAGGGTGAGAGGGGGGAGCCCGTGCTATAGGATCTGAGAGGGCAGAGAAGGTGAGAGGCCAGAGTCTGTGTTCTAGGAGCGGAGGGGGTGAGGAGCCTATGCTGTAGGACCCCAGAGGGCAGAGAGGGGGAGAAGGGGAGCCTGTGCTGTAGGAGCTGAGAGAGCAGAGAGGGGTAAGAGGCGGGGGAACACCAACACCCCAAGCGGGTGAAGACAGGAGCCGAGCGGGGCAGGGTGGGTGCGTTAAAGGCAGTCATCTCAAGGGTCTGTCCTCTGTTCTCTCAGGCACAGACGCCCGCCAGCAGGAATGAGAGCAATCAGGCTGGCCCACTGCCCACACACTCGAGGGGCGACAGACGGGGCGCTGGGCATTAGCCGGACAGCCAGCATGGTACTGAATGCCAGTTGCTGCCACTGAAGACAGACAGGCACCATGGACAGTCTCTAAGTGCCAGGGTGTCCCCCGAGGGCAGCCGCAGGACAGCAGGCACAGAGGAGGGGGAAGGCCACCAGGCTGAACCCTGTGGCCGGGGGACCAGAAACGCTGTGCTAGCAGAGGGGTGTGGTGGGCGAGGCTGAAGCAGGCAGCAGGGAGCGCAGGAGGGACCCTGACAAGGGGGGGTGAGCCAAGGGCAGTGAGCCTGCGGGCTGGGGGGGTAGGGGGGGCACCGTCAGATGAGGAGGCATGTTGTCCCCCGGCTGTGAGATGGGGGAGTAGTACACGTGACCTGGAAATGCTGATATGTTGACATGGACATCAGGTGGTCACAGATGCTGCTGGCCCGTGGAGAGCTGGCTCAGAGGGTCCTGGGTGTGTGTGTGTGGGGGGGGGTGTGTGTGTGTGTGTAAATAAGGGAGATTATCTTGGCTGTACAGAAGAAGCTAGAAGAAATGGAGGTGCTGGTGCACAGGAGCGGAGAGACGCAGCCAGACGCTGCCCTCGGCAGGGGCCGGGACACATGCCCCCAGGCTGGGGTGGGAGGGGCAGAGGGCACATGTGGTTCCCCTGCAGGTGTGGGGGGGACAGAAACACCAAGTGACATCTCCAGCAAGATGTGGCAACTTAGGGGGGTGTCTGCACACCCCAAGAACCACCCCCCACGACAGCTCGACCTCCAGGCTCCAGGAGCTCAGCAGCAGCCCTTGCCAATCAGAGGGAAACCTCCCCTCGCTTCCACGTGAGTGTCAGGACGTCACCAGACGAACTCAAGCACTTCCGGGAAATAGACAGGGACTCGGAAATGACTACACCTGCTCCCCAAAAAGTCGTTCACAAAAGTCATCTAAATTCACTCAGAAGTAAGTGAACGGCTATCCAACACAACTGGCGACAAGTGATGGGTGGGCACAGCGCCTGCCAGCCCTCTCCAGACGATAGTAAGCCCAGGCAGCTGGTCACACAGACCCGGGTTCTAGGCCCGGCTCAGGCGCTCTCCCCACAGTCACCTCTGCTCATAGCCCACCGCACACCCCCCCCCACACACACACACACACGGTGCCTGTTCTGGGGTGACCCGGGGAATCCTTACGTCAGCCTGAGCTTGTCTTCCAAAGTACATATCTGATGAGATGGCCTTGACGTTGCCAAACTTCTTCTGGGCCTCATTCGTGTTCTCCACAGGCTCAGGGTCCAGCTTGCGGCGCCCAGCAGGTCTACAGACAAAAACACCCAAAAGGCTCAACTAACACGAGGTGTGGCAAATGCTCTTCTTGCTTATAATGCAAACGCGTGCCATGCTGTGTTTTAAAAAAGCTGAGAGCATGCACACCCATGTTTATTGCAGCTTTGTTTGGAATAGTAAAGAGTTGGAAATAACCCAAGTGCCCTTCAACAAACGAACGGATAGTGAAGCTGTGGTATATTCACACAATGGAATACTATGCAGCACTGAAAAACAAGGAACTCATGAAATATTATGCAAAATGGGTGACCCTGGAGGACGTTATGCTGAGTGAAATATCTCAGTCACAAAAGGACAAATATTGCATGGGGCCACTGTGGTAAAACAGGACTGACATTGGGTTGAGGGAAGATGGAGAAAGAGGGGAGGAATGATCCATTGAAACAGATGAGGGAGAGAACTGTTTAAAAGGGATATATGATTGGGTATTCTTGTCATGACAGGAGTCCAGAGTGAAGGCTGCATAGTGGAGGGACTTGGGGAGAGGGATTGTAGAACAATGAAAGACTTTTTCTTTTACTTTTCAAGGAGAAGGGTGAATTGGGGGGAGGGATAGGCAAGGAGAAAAGTGCAACAATGAATTAATGAATGGAAATCCAAAATCTCTGTAAACTTTCATTAAAATTAATAAAAATAAGTATAAAGTGTTTTAAAAAAAGCTGTGAGCAGTAATCTTGTAAAAGGATTTAAGGAAACTTTTGGGGCCTGGAAATTCTAATAAAAAGAAGGAAATGTCTAAGCTACACAATATTCGAAGGAATTGTTCTGTTTCAAATGGTTCTGTCATTTCACACTGCAGTGCCATGGCTGGGCGGTAAGCACTGATCCCACATCTGTGTGCGTCCAGGCCACTGCTCTATGTCACACAGGACATGAAATGGGTGGGCAGCCCCAGCCAGAAGCGCTGTCCAGATGGATTAGTGGTGCCTCCTCCCACTCTCGGCATTTCCTGGTTAAGTTCGACCAGGTCTACAATCTAACTGATTCCACCGAATGTTTCCCAGCTAGGGATGTGCATCATGTCCTGTGGAACTTCTGAAAAATAACACGTCCAGCTTTTTTTTTTCTTCTTTTTTTTTTTCTATAATTATATTTTAT